ATATATATATATAATGAAATAAAATAAATAATTAAATTGATCAAAATAAAACAAAAACGAATTAATTTTGATTAATTTTGATTAATTTTGATTAATCAATACGCATTATTTTAAATGAAATTAATTGATGGGATTTTTTCTTCCTTTTAGCCTTCCTATGAGGTACACCCTTCCAACTATGTTCATCCGCGCAAGGGCAGGATGCGAATAGATGAGTCGAAGGATGTGTATTTGGATGACTATTGATTCGATTACTAAATTATGTCGACGCGATTCGCAGAGATGACTGACGAACTTTTCTGAGATATTACTCGTCCGTTCGATTATCGTTTATTGTATTATCTGGCTTAATTCTCTACCCGTATTTCTCCTGATATCGTCTCTTCTCTTTTACTTCGTTTTCTCGCAATTTTGGCAGCGATAATAAAGTACGTGCGTGCACGCATATTTGTTAGCACTCTGACTTTTCGATAATAAACATTTGAATCGCACAACAGAAAAATATCAATTTACCGTCTTGATCTTGTAGAAAAGTAATTGTCCGCACGCGAAATAATTATGATCTCCTTCGCGTCAACTCTTCAAGCACCTCATTATATTCTTAAATGTGACATAGAAAGATAAACACTTTAATAAATAGTATTGGACGTTCTAATTCGATTTTACGAGAACTAAGCAGGAAGTTTACACCAGTTGTCACTTAATTCTTGCTCTTTTACCCGGTGTAGTGTACTTTAGCTCGCTCCAGTGTACATTTATCAATAATTTGGAAATTGTACGAGATTATTAAATTACAAGTGTTATTCAATTTTAAACTATCTTCACGATTGTTATTCCGCGAACATTTAATTCTCGCGCTGGAAGAATCGAAGTCACAGTATAGTTAATTAAATCCTATAAAACTTATGCACATCCATACGTGAGACGTGCATAATAATGATCGGCCACAATAGTGTTATTGTACATAAAGAGATGTAAAACGATAATTATACATATATATATATGTTGTTCTAAATTATGTTTCGATTATATTTCAAATAAAGTATATATACATACTTGATAAAAAAAGGAAGTTTGTTATATTATGCTTTGGGTGCAGCAGCTGCTAAACGTGTATTATTTGCATCGCACAACAGCTAATAAACTTCGATCATATCATCGATATATTTATTGCTGGAAGTTGTGAATCTTTTTGAAGAAATGAAGCCTGTGATGCCTTACCACAATATTGCGCTATTAACAATTGTCAATAGATACTTATTTTTATCATCTTTTTTGTGTAGTAGATTAAACAAATTTATATGCTCTTCAAACTTATGGAGTTTAAGATATTGAGTTTAAGATATTGTAATTTATCAATGCATTAATTTAAAAAAAAAAAACAATTATAATAAGAATTGGGCTAAGATATAGAGCCAAGCAAGGTTTTGATACTATATTATTAAATAACAAACAGAAAATTTATTAGAATATATGTTTCACCCTCAATCAAGTCATTCTTAATGTTAACAATATACAAATTTTAAAATTCAAACGGTATTAATTAATATCGCTCTGATTATAACATTAAGAATAACAAATATTCCAAAGAAATATATTATTGAATTGCTATTGTAGTCAACGGATGTCTTAAAGTAAAGTATGCAACGGATGTCTTAAAGTAGAGTCAAGCGGAAATAGCTAAAACATCCAGAAAAACAAATCAATATGATATCAAAATGACTCCAAAATAATTATTAAAAGTCATTTCCCAATCATTTCTGATTTATTTTAATACCATTTTGACGTTATCGTGACTTGTTGCTCTGCTTGGGATTATATAGTTCAGAATTTATTGTAATCAAAATAATTTTCAACAATTAAAAAAAAAGACTAAATTTCAACCTGATGAATTGATTATAATTCAAATATTTTAAATATCAAATTATCCGAAAATGGCGAAAATCTTGAGCTATCTTGCTAAAAGAAATTCAGTTTTTAGATAAGAGAAATTTAATTTGAAAGTTTTTTGTACATTAAAAATGATTGTTCTGAGAGAATAAGACGCTAGATAGGAAAAGTATGAAAAAGGAAAGTAAAAAGGGGAACTAAAAGATATTAAGGAGAAAGACATACTACAACAACTGTAAGATATAGGGAAGATGTAGATAAAGACTACATATCGGTTTGTTTATTTAAACCTTGAGATTATAATGCATGAGATTATAATGCTCTTTATATGCACCATTTCTGATATTATTATAAAATGATTCTTTATCTAAAATTTTAACTTTCTCCCAATTAAAATTATGATTGAAATTAATATGATAGTCCGAAATAACTGATGGAAATTCCATTTCTTTATTAATATTTCAGAAGAATACTCGTGAACTCTCGTTTGTAAACGTGATCTCTTCGTTTGACCGACATAACTTGTCTCATAATCAAAACAAAAAGTTTAACACACCACATCTTGGAATGATAAAGGATTCAGGTCTGTCTTTCTCAGCAAATGAGAATAGATTAAAATGGATTGAAATTTTTTTCTATCTGAATGCGTATTTTATTAAATAGCGAATTTTTTTATTTTATTAAATAGCGAACTTTTTTTGGATTTAATTGGATTCAATTGGAATCAATTGGATGCAATTGAATTGAAAAACCGCATTTCCTATTCAAAATTTTGAATTGAACAGTATTCACAATTGTGTTGTGTATACAGAAAAAGCTAATATTATTTTTAGATTGAAAGGCATAGAGATATGCTCCATGCAATTCCTATAAATGAATAAAAAGTGCATTCAGGATTAAAAAACATTCATGAATCAATATTTCTGAAAATCTGAATCCATTTCAATTCATTTCAATCCATTCTCGTTTGTTGGGTTGTTTACTTTTATGAATTTATTTAATGTGTTTGGAAATAGAGAAAAGGCCGTTTTTAAATTAATCGTCGGGGCACAAAACTTTCGGAAATGGATTTTCTTATATACGAAAAAATTTGTTATTTTTCATATATAAATTTTTAAATGTGTAATAATATAGTCAAAACCTTGCTTAGCTTGTAATCCTATTCTTATTAATTTAATTTTTAAAAAATTATTTGAATCTTTTTTCTTATATAATAATTATTATATTTTTATAAACATTTTTTAATAAGAACAAAAGAAGTATTTTTATAAAATAAGAAGCTATTTAACTAAATTATTTACTATAAAAGTTGTAAATCTTTTCAAGAAATGAAGCTTATTTTATTATGTAGCTATATATATAGTGATTATTGTTATTGTTATGTTATTTATATACAAATATACATTATTATTTTTATTATCTTTTTTAATATAGTAAATGAAGAATTAATTCAGGAATCCGAAATAGTGCATATCTAAAAGATATCTAAAAGACAATATAAAGAGATCTTCTAAATCTTGTTTCGAAAAAAACCTACATTTTAAAATAAAAAATAAGAAGTAAAACTGCGCTCGCAATTCAAGATGGATGCGCAATTGCGTTATGAAATTCACATTTTACATACAAGATGTCAGGTCAAGAGGTTTCACGTGGTGTGTGTGTGTGTGTGTGTGTGTGTGTGTGGTGTGTGTGTGTGTGTGGTGTGTGTGTGTGGTGTGTGTGTGTGTGTGGTGTGTGTGTGTGGTGTGTGTGTGTGTGTGGTGTGTGTGTGTGTGTTTACACTATACATATTCTAACCTCAAATTTGCAATGGAAAGAAGGACTACATAATGTACTACATAATTTTAACCTCCAACAACCGGTGAAAAGAATAAAAGCAAGGGAAAGATCTACCTCCGGAAATTTGTACGAATATCTTAAATTTTAATGTTAATGAAATCATCCATAGTGAAAGTCTTCAACGAATAACATTCTTTTACTCGTCTTTCACGATGAGTGTGCTCATGCAACGGTTAGGTCGTCTGCGGAACGTGTACTCGGTGTTATTGAGAGGCTCTGACAATGGCAACTTCGTGCACGATGTTTTACCAAAGTATAAGTATAGCATTCCGAGCGTGGCATGTATCGATTCGGGAAAAACCTTAGAAGTACATGCTAACACTCCTGTCATCGACAACGAGAATAACAGCAATCCAGAAAGGGTACAAGAAAATGCGTACGCTCGCAATCTTTTCCTGAACTCATGGAAGTATGAAAAGATCGTGATGCAACCGATCACAACGTATGCTCATGTCACAAATAAGGAAGCATTGAAGATCCTGGAACAAGATTGGAATTTGATGACAAACGCTGAAACAGTATCCGCCATCAAGAAACTGTCCTATAACTTTTCTTACAATAATGAGGAGAAGATCGAGTCATTTCAATATATGAAAGCTTTCAGCAGATTAAAAATGGAACAGTTGACCAACGACGAACTGATGACTATAATGCGGCATCTGGTACTGTTCAACAAGCATATGAAACACTGCAACTTCTACTCCAATCTCTGTACGTTAATAGACAGAGAATGTATGAAGCGTTTCTTGAAGTTACCAATAGAGCAGACATTATATCTTTGTGACATAATATATCAGATGACATGTAAGATTAATCATTATTTTTCTCAATACATGTGGTATTCCATTAGGAATATAGGCAACAAACCTCAGAAACTTAGTCCTCAGCAACTGGTTCAAATTCTGTTTTTTCTTAACATACATCGGAAGCCATCTATAAATATGTACGAGTTGGAATATCATTTGGAACAGTGCAAGGATGAATTATCGATCAACGAGCTAGGTATAGCAGCATTGGGTTTTTTTAAGACTAGCACGAAAATTAAAAACACAGATTTTCTGAATTATATCCTCCAAAGATCTGCAGCTGAAATAAATGAAATACATAGTGTGAGCATCGCAAGCATTATAAAATTAGTACGGTAAGATAAATTTGATGTGCTGAATATTCACTGACTTGCAAATATTGATTTCATCTTTAATAAATCTCTACTTACAGATATAGCACGAATCTTACAGAGTTGAAATCGCTTTTAGATTTATTGAAAGTTTTGACGCCATATGAGCCACGTTACACGTTGTCATCTTTAACGCATATCGCGCAAGCATGTGGAAGAACTGCTGTGTACAACAAAGAGCTCATGGACAGAATAATCACAAGGTAAATTTTATTTTTAAATTTGCAATCGTCATTAATATTTGTGATAAGCAATGCTTATGATTGATATAATTCCAGATTAAATAAAGAATTAAAGACTGCGAGGTTGAAGGATTTCGAAAGACTCCTTTATACTTTTGTTGTTCTTGATATCAATTCAAACAATAGTATCTACCAGAACGTGATCGAGGAATTAAGGACTACATGGAATACTACTCGAGCATTCGAGATACAGAAGTAACTATCCAATAACATATTTTTTAAAACTGCATTATTTATAAAAACTATATTCTTCTTTTTTTGCTTCTTAGAAAAAAAGAGTTGTTCCATTTTAAAGATATTTACGAGACATTTCCCATGATAGGTTTCCACATGTAGCTTCACGTATTCTAGGATATTTGACAATAAAAAGTATATTTCCCATGGATCTAATCAGATATGTCATGGCACCTGAATTTGTGACTAAAACATGCCATGGGAATTACCATTTTCTTTCGCGCGAATACCTCGTACTTGATTACAGCCTTCGAATAGAAGTACCCGAATACGATGGTCCATTTCTGAAACCTACTTTAAAAAGTTTTTTAGAAAAGGTAAGCAAAGAAAAATCAATTATTTATGATCGAATTATTTGTCATATGTCGTATAAATTCGACGAAAAATGATACTTATTAATAAATTTTATAATTACAGAAATATTACAACTTAAGTCTAAAGACTAATTTAAGCTCGACTAGGGCGAATATGCTTTTCTCGGACGTGTTGGCAACGTGTCAGGTACATATATATACTACCATCTAAAAACTAATCTTTTCCTTTACGTATATTATTTCATAAATTATTCTTATCTTTAAATAGGAGTTGTTCAACAATACGACGGATATATCGATAATTCGTCCGTTACCATATTTTATATCACAGGACATTATTTTATGTTTAAACGAGCAAAATCAGCTTATGCCATCAGAGAAATACTTATCGCAATTTGAAGAAATTGATATTAAACGAGTGAAAAATTTAAATAATGTCAGATGGATTGCTCTCGTCATAGGACATCCTGGATTATTAATAAGGAATTGTCGAAATAGACCTACTGGAGCGTTAGCTACAAAAATGAGACAGTTGTCTATAATTGGCTACAAGCCAATTATGGTAAGTTTGTACGAAATAAATATATCAATATAAACTAGGAACGCAGAAATGTATTATAAATACAAAACGCTATTTTTTTGAACATTAAGAATATAAGTTTCAAAATAAATCGATCAAATTCTATTGACGAAATTATGTTATAAATTAAGCATTTTTTTTAATCATAATATTCAGTTATAATGCAGATACAGTAATGTGCAATATAACCAATTATATGATTTCACTTATTTTTGTTTTAACGAAATGAGTTTTATAATAACAATGGGTCTTATAAGCAATCTTTTGACGTTCCTGTGGGATCTCCATTATGCTAATTGCAGCGGATCTTGTAATGCAAGAGTTAGAAGAATTCACACTTGAAAAATTCACAGTTCACATTCAATTTTTATTATAAGTATGTTGATGACACATTGCTTTGTCCTAAAAAGTAGAATATTGATATAATCTTAAAAAATTTTAACGAATATGAGTCTAAATTAAAATTCACTATAGAGCTTGGAGATAAATTAAATTTTCTAACTTTAATCAAAGAAGACAAAAAACTAATTTACAATTGATATCAAAAACCTACATTCTTTTCAAGATATTTAAACTATTTTTCATGTCATCCATTAAGTAAAAAAATACTATTACGGGATATAAATAAAGGTAATACTATTACGGAATTAACGGGCAGAGTTAATGTTATCACACGCAAAATTTTACAAATTAAATTTGCATAAAATAATCAACATTTTACTAAATAACGGATATTCTTTGAAGCTTATTTTTAACATCATCAAAAAGAAGTTTAAAAATCTAAAGATCAGAATAACAATGTAACTCACACGAATAACGAAGAACAAACAGACAAAAATTTGACTACATTTTTCAATATCTTATGGGTTCCATCAATCATATCAGAAAAATTCAAATTTTTTCAAGAATAACAGGATAGTTCATCTTGCCTATGTAGGATTAAATAAACTGAATTCTTTTATTAGAAATCAAAAAAACAAATTGACTTTCACAAACAAATGTGTACAGAGTTAATTGTTAGGAATGTCATGCATCTTAAATAGGATAGACGAAATGATTGCTTAAGACCAGATTAGATAAATATCGCAATTATAACAAAAGGAACATGAAACAAAAATCCATAATTTCTGAACATAGATTGGAACATAATCATAATTTTGACTAGAATCACACAAAGATCTTAGACAGAGAAAAGAATTATAATAAACGACTTATTTCAGAATCAATTTTTATTAATAAAAAATGCACTAAATGTGCAAGACACAGAATTTTTAGATCCATTATACCAAGATCTATTTAAAAAGATTTGACATTTCCAAGTTTTATTTCTTTAATTTATTGTATAAAACATGTATATATATATATCGCATTTATTTATCACTATGTTTTATACCTATGACTAACGACAATTGATTTTGACCTCTCACATACTCTTTGAACGCTTTGTGATAATGTATCTTATCTCACATATCTTCTCTCTCTCTCTTTCTCCATCGTTAACATTATTATACATAAGTTTTTTGTTGAATTGATTTGATTTATGTTTTAATGACTTATTCAACTCTATTAAATTATTACAGATAATAATTTGAATTTGTTAGATTTGAAATTATCTGAAATGTTAGTATTTTATTAGATATGACAGACAGCATTATTATCATTTTATTAATATATGTTAATGATACTTCAATTGCGATGCTTCGCATCGCATCTTTTATATTAAATTTATTCGATTTTATTTTTATTTTTACACTGAGGAAAACCTAATCGAAGGGTTGAAACATTTGTCAATTTTTCTCAAGAATAAAGTATACGATTCCACATACGATTCCACTAACCTGTGTGTTGGCTCGCATTGGCTGATTTACATCTATCTTTGGATAACTGATTATAATTAATGCTGACATTTTAGAATTAGTCTAACTATATTTTTAATTAAAGATTTAAATAATAAAGAATGATTTAAATAATAAACTTTAATTATAGTACAGGTAACGCAAAAAAGTTTTATTTTGTTTTGCAGGTATCATATATGACTTGGGACACACTTCAATCGCCGCGGACAAAATATGAATACATCAAAAATCTTATTATTTCATAAGATTTTTGATGTATTCATATAATATATAATGTCTCAGAAGGACATCCTGTACATCTTTTATTAAGAAAAATATTTCTTGTAATATAAAATATTTCTTGTAATTGTTGATATATATGTACATTATTTTCTTATATTTACAGATATAAACATTAAAGTCGCTTGACGTAATTTTAGAATACATAGTTTAGAGTACACAATAAATGCACATTTGTGTAGAATATTCGTAGAATCAGGTCACGTAAGAAAACGGAGATGTTGAAATCGATTTTAGAAATAATTGTACATAAATTTTTTTGTGTATTCGACGGTGACAAACAGTGTTGCAGTCGCTGGTATCGTTCTAATTAAAGTCGGTGTTAATCCGTTATACAAAGCGCCGATACTTTCTTGCCGTATGATATTCTTGAAAACTATCAAGGCGGGCGTTTTCAAGTTCTGCACCTGATTTCCAAGATATTTTGTTACAACAAAAAATTCAGAAATAGACATATTTTTTTAGTTATTTGAAAACATACCTGTATTCTACTCTTAACAACGTCGGCGGGAAATATCGCTAGCCAGAGCATCGTGCCTCCAACCGCGCCAGCCATCATCGTCTTTTGCCAGCCAATGTCATCTCTATTCTGATCCTTAGCAGCTAATAACTCTCTTGTGGCTTCGTAGCCGCCGAAAAAAAAGAAATAGCCTGGCATTTCGCGAGCTATTGTCGAAGAGAGGCCTGTAAATAGGCCTCTTACACCTTGTTCCCGAAGAACTTGCCTCGTCAAACTCCATGGTCCTATACGAAGTTTCTGAGAGAAATAATAATGTCACTAAAAAATTGCCATTAAAATTTCTAAAGCAAGATTTATGAAACATTGTTTACCGTGGATTTTCCTGTGGTAGTTGCCATTTGCGTCTGTTCGACTTCCCTCATAGCCTGTAACTTGCATTTTATTAACTCTGTTGGGCATAGCGTCAACGAGGAAAAGAATGCAGCGAAGAAGCCGGCCCAGGCATTACTGAAGGAACTTAGCTCTTTCACGCTCTGTACACCTATAAAAAAAAGAAGAATAAAGCATATTATTATTTATTCATTAAAGCATAAATTATTTTAATTTACTTTAATTATTTTAATTTATTTTTAAAAAATAATTCATATTTATATATCATAGTTCATGATTTACCTGATAAATGAGCGATCGCCTTTTGACATCCTCCGTAGGCTGCGAATAATACCGAGTTTTCGGCAACATTGGCGACTACCGCAGGGATTGTTCCAGCGTACAAACCTCTTGCGATACCATCTGTTCTTAACGTACGGAGAAAACAATTCACCATATTTTTGTACATGGATGGGAAGGTTTGCATCTTTACCTTCACCGTGTCCAATGGTTGGCCCACATAAACGAGCGCTACACCACCTTTTAAATAAAAAAATAATAATATGCTTGTATATAGAAAATATAGAGACTCTCAATAGAATGTTTCAAAGCATTTTCACGAAATTATTATTCTACTGGCAATTAATGATAAATAACTTGTCTGTTATATTTTTCACATTTGATAGAGTGGAGAAATTATTGAAAAATTATCGCAAAAGTTTAACCATTAAACGATTATTCTATGTGAACTCTAAACTTATTTACGTAAAAATACTGTAGATATAATTAATGTTGCAATATTAATTTTTTCTAAGATTTTATCAATTTATCAATAAAAATGAACATTTCTTGATAATATTAATGAATTAAACAGCTGTAAATTCACAATTTTCTTAGATTGCGATAGTTTGCCAACAACAAATTTCTGCGTAATTAATAATACAAAACAATTAGTTTTTGTTTTTCAATTCAATAGATCGCATAAGAACGCGACTTTGCGCTAGTTGGAATGATTTAGAAGTTGGATGCAATTGAATTTATCAGTCGAATATTTACGTGAAAGATAACATTACAGAACAAATATTATCGTTATCTTTCCATCGAATTTATTACAGATAAACGTGTTATTTATCTAAATATCAGAATGTACAATTTTATGATAAACAGTAGATAGACATTAAGCAATTCAAGCTGACGTTATTTGTCATCATTTTGACATTAAAATATCATCAAAGCCCAAGTAGAACAATAAGTTACGATAACATCAACATGACGTTAAAATTAATTGTAAATGATTAAAAAATGATTTTTAATGATTATTTTGGAATCAATTTGACATCCTTTTAATGCTGAGGTGACTTGTTTTTAATTGAAAGATGTCATTTTGACTCAAAATGAGAAATGATGTCACTTTGTTATCTGGGAATGCAATCAAATTAATTAATTTAAAATACATCGATAATAATTCATATTTTATATATCTATTTGTTTATAAATATCGAAAATTTTAAAATTAAATAGACCAAGGTTTTTGCTAAGAAACGAAGTTTCTAGAAGTTTTCACTTTTTAAGCCTTTTAATTTTTCTATTCTTATATTTTACAATTTTCTATCTTTACATAATTTTTTAAGCAATTTCTTTTTTTTTAAGATCTTCGTAATTTTATTCTTCTCAAACTTAGGTCAATGTGTAAAATTAACATTAATTTCGATTCATTTATTATTTATCTTTTTCTAATTCTTAGAATTCTTAAAATTAGAAAAAAAAGAGTAAGAGTTAAATCGATATTAAAGTTAATCTTACATTGACAGAATCGTCTCTACCAATTAATGTAGATTATAAGTTTTAATCTCATTGTCAGTTCAACTTAAGTCTGTGGCACACGACGATGGCGTGTTTCTCTGCTGAATTGCTTGCATTTTGATAAATTACTAGAAATTCTGCGTTTTGAGGCTTCTGATTTTCTCCTGGACATCCTTGTTTAATGTTCGGTAAACAAGGATAAAAGGACATAACATTCGGGTGATCCGGAGAGCATCCAGATGGAAATTCAAACCCCTGTGTAATGCAATTCTAATAATTTACTAAACACAAGCAGAAAAATTCAGCAGAAAAATCATGCATGCATCGTGTGCCACAGGTTTTATCCTTTATCTTTTTCTAATTCTTAGAACTAGAAAAAGTTGAAGCTAAACAATTTAGCTCACGAAATGGCAACACAAAGTATAATCAGTATCGTAGTTTCTAACGAGCGTTAAAAGTTGATTTTATAGATTAAGATTCAATTTATTATACATTTTTATATAAAGTAATTACTTCATATATGACATAAAAAATTAAAAAAAATGAAGACTTACAATTAAACAGAAATTAAAATTAAACTACATTGGTAAAAACAGGAATTAGAAATGTTTTGCTGCGAGAGGAAATATCATCTGAATAGAAGATGATGCAACTTCCGTACAGATTCGAGTAAATTCCGATTATTTTGATCGACAATCGACTTGTCAGCCTGTATCAATTCATTAAATAATAGAACAATCGATTTTTAGTTTAATATATGAAAAGAACGATTTCAGCATAAGTGGATTCGTGAGTAAACGGAAAGATATAGATTCCTATTTCTATAGAAAACCATGCGGCGAGACAAATACCGAGTGAACCGGCCACAAAATCAATCGCGCCCTCCTTGACGCTTCCGCGGCAGTTTTCCATCGGCACGTGAGGAACTTCCGTGTCAATCAGTCCGACAACGCTGTCTGTCGTCATTGTGGTCATCGTCTGGGCGAAAAATTCTTTCGTTGTGGCCATGTGCTTTTGTCCCAGGCGATAAAACAGATACAACCACAATCACCACGATCGCCAGCCAGCCGCACGCAACGGGTGATACTGGCGATTGAGCGTCTCGCGAGGCGTTATAAATATATGTATATGAATCTCTATAGAAAGAAGCTGATATCGTCGGCTTGTCGTTTACGTTGTCATTTAACGAACAGGTCCGGCTCGAGAAATCGCTGGGCCTGTCAGAAATCCCTGAAAAAAAGAATTTCCGTCGCATCTTGCAACTTTTATTTTTATGCTTCTTGAACAAGAGAGAGAAAAACAAAACAGAGAGAATTCTTGTGTCTAGACATATTGAAATTATTAGAAACTGAAAATCTATAGTTTGTAACATGCGCTACAGGTTTGTAGCATGCAATAGCAATGAATATTTTAAAACACAGCCAGTACATAGAACAATTGCTTTCCTTTTAGATGACAGCCGACATAAGCTAGAAGTTTTATCTTTATTTGTATTATTCTGAATATCAAGAAGGAAATACATGGCAATGATGTTTGTGTCTATTGTATCTCTTAAACGGAAAGCAGTCTAAAATGTTACAGCTGCAATAGAAGTCTGTTCTTTTCAATTGAACTTCTTGCACCGTTCAACCTTTACCTCTTTTTTTCATGTTGAAAAGAAAAAGAGAAAAGATAGTACAAGAATTTTAGTTGAAAAAAACAGACCACGCATTTGTACAATTTAAGATAAATACAATTTAAGATAAAAGTAGTATGTAGCTAAAGACTAAGTAGTAGGTAAAAGTTATAATTCTTAAACGTTTTTGTAGTAATTTTAATTCTTAATCTCGATTTAACTTATTTTTTTAACTTATTTTCTTAACTAAAAAAAAAAACTAAAAAAAAAAAGATAAAATATTAAACGGAGATTAAAGTTGGTCTATATTGATAAAAATAAACATTATGAGGAAAGATTTCATCGAATTTTTCAAGACGATGGACAAATGGAAAATTATTCGCTGGCGTCTTAAGTTTACGCTAATCTATTTTTTCTTTGTATTTTTCTGTCTCTTTGAAGTAAAACTTTTTTGAGGTCCAATACGACCAAATATGCGAAATATCCAGATTGATTGTACAATTTTAATTTGAATAATAATATTATGAAATAATATAATCACACTAGTCCACGCTAATCGCTTATAGGTTATGAAAAAGTGCGAGAGAGAGAGAGAGAGAGAGAGAGAGAGAGAGAGAGAGAGAATGCGAATGCCTGCCAAGAATGTCAGGATACGCGATGGCAGGTTGCCATGGAGATGCAGGGCGTTGTATCCAGACAACGAACGAGTAAAACATCCCCAGATGAACGTGTCGTCCAAATCCCTAGACTGTTGGG